AGCGGATGGGCTAAGGGCTCCGCCCCAGGGGTGTGGCACAAAGGCGGCTCGTAGAATCAAGAATGTAATATGTCACATTAGCTACTTGAAGTAATGTAATTGAGAAAAAAAAGAGAGTGGGTTTTATATGATTGAAAATGTTTTATATGTTTGGTTTTATTTTTAAATTCTCATTTGAGCATGCTTTACATGTTATGTTTATGTATTTTAATTTTAGATAATAGGTTTTTTAAAACATTTATTTTAAAATTTAAGTTCATACTTTTATTAATATTATATTAATAATTGTTTGATTTTTTTTTAATTTTTAGCATTTGTTTATTTTTGCGCTTTACTTAAAAAGGCGCACACCTTGCCTTGTGCCTCGGGTGCAAATTGACCCATGCGCCTTGTGCTTTTCAAACACTGGAACATCCCTACCTATTTCTGCAAAGGTTCTCTACTTTCTCTTGTCCCATATTTTCCAACATACTGCAGCCCTGATACGCCTCCATAAAGTTTGTCCCCTCTTCTTGTACCAGCTAACAAAAGAAGGGTGAAACAGGTTTTGTATATTTGACACGGGGTTTCACCTACACCCAAACAAAGGAAAGAAATCAGTCCCAAATTAAAGATACTAAGGGGCAGGAGATTAATAAGTGATGGTAGGACTCACCATCAGCCCTACACAGTAGACACCAATGAGGGGATAAACACCACTTAGGTCTCTTTCTTTGGAGAAAACCCTCTCAAGATCTTGGAGCAAAGATAAGGCACTATCTAATTCAAAGTTATGCAATCCTCTTCTGAGCCCCAAGTCTCAATCAAGCCCTGAACTTGCACTGGACGGAACCACAAAAGAAGAAATAGTCGCACCTCTTCGGTTAGAAATTGCAAAAAGGGAGGAGAGTTGCTCTTTTAGAGGTGAGTTGCCTAACCAGATGTGATCCCAAAATTTTACAAGGTTACAAGAATAAGGATTATACCTGATATGAGACAGAAATGAAGACAGAATACCATGAATATCCTTCCAAGGTGAAGCTCTTGTTGCCCTAGACAACACTCCAGCATCCCAACCATCAACTGCAATCCCATGAATACTAATGATTACTTTTGCCCACAACTTGCCTCTATCAATTTGCAACCTCCAGAGCCACTTAGCTAGCAAGCAACATTCCTTTCCTGAATATTCCTTAAACCAAGCCCACAAAATATTTTGCTTTTCCTAACCACATCCCAACTCAGTCTATGGTCCTTTTTCTCCTCCCCTGGCTCCCACAAGAAATCCCTCATCATCTTTTCTAACCTCTTGCTAATCCCTTCTAGAATTCTAAACATTGACAAGAAATAAACTAGCAAGTTGGCTAGAGTAAGTAATTTTTCTTCCAGGAAGCCAACTTTTTATTAAATCTCTCTATTACCAGATTCCAAAAGTTGCTACCTCTAGGAGTATCCCCCAAAGGCATTCCTACATATAATTCATTGACCATTGAGAAACCATGCATTCCAAGATTACTGCTGCCTCTGGAATTCCCATATCCTCCATATTCAACCCCACAATGCAACTCTTATCCCAATTGATTTTTAGAATTTCACATTCTCTCAAAAATAGTAACAATCATCTTCATGTTTTACACCCAACTAAGTTCACCACCATCACATAAGAGAATTGTATCATCAGCAAACTGCAAGTGAGTGATAGGAATCTCCTCTCTGCCTACTCTCCAACCTCTTATTAGATTTCTAGCATCATTCCTAGAGATTATCCTACCAAGAACGCCGACTATTAATGTAAACAAGAAGGGGGAGAGGGGACCCACCACAGTTCCAATCACCAAAATAGTGTAGTGGTAAGTCCAAATGCACTCTAAAATCCATTTATACCACCAATCACGAAACCTAGTTGGGTGTAAAACATGAAGAATCCCAAATCAATCAAGTCCAATTTACACACCAAACCATTCTTGCCAGACCCCTTGAAATCTTCAACACTTTCATTAGCAATTAAAATTTGATCTGTAATTTGCCCTCCCTTTACAAAAGCACGTTGAGAAGGAGAGATTAAGAAAGGAAGAAAAACCTTGATTCTTCGTAACAACACCTTAGCAATGATTTTATACAAGTTATTTACCGAACTGATCCGTCTGAAATCTTTTGGACTCACTACATCAGCTCTTTTTGGAATTAGAGCAATAAAGGCGAAATTGAGCCCCAATTAATCACACCACTCAAGAATTCAATAAAGACCTACAAATCAACTTTCAACACATCCCAACAATCTTGATGGAAAGCCATTGTGAACCTGCCATGACATGGAGATTTGGATCTATCCATAGAAAATATCATTTCCTTAATCTCCTCCAGCTCAAAGCTTCTTTCCAACCACTTCATAGAATCTTCTAGTAATTTATCCCACTCTAGACCATCAACCCACACTCTTTTATCCAAAGGCCTCCTAAAACTAGCTTTAAAATGATCCACAAAAGCTTGGGCAATCTCACTATGACGGATCAGGGATAATCCATCCACCACCAATTTTGAAATAAAATTTTTTCTACTCCTTAGGCCAAGTGTTTCTTGAATTCTGTCTCTAGCTTATTTATTCTTTAAGTAACAAGTCCATCTCTCCTCCTTATCCCTCTCTTCAAAGGTCCCCAAAGCTTCGTTTGCGTCCAAGTGCTGAATATTTTGGCTTTAATTCCATTCCTTAATTCTGGCTTTAATTCCCTTCAACCCATTCGATTTGGTTATGAATCAGCTGGGGGCTAAATATTCCACTCCTTAATTCTGGCTTTAATTTCTTTCAATCCATTCAAATTGGTTATAAATCGGCTGGGGGCTAACCCAAACCCAGTTCATTGACACTCTTAACTGAAGGTATGGCTCTGATTATCCCATATGGGGAAGGGAATGTATAGGTATCTCCTTGGGTAATGTCTAAATTGTTAAGCTACGGAGAGATTGGGGGGATTTCTTTTAAGAGAATGGAGGGGGCAACAAGGAAGCTTCTGAACACTCGATATGGTCCAATTATTAATATGGGCTGGAGCATAAGATGATGGGAGCTGGAATGCTGTCTAGCATTTCTTTGGTAGTAAATAAATACTGTTTTATAGATATGATAATTTGCCAAGTTTTGAGAGGAAACTTAATGCTCATAATAAACAGAACTACTATTTTTTTTAAATTAATATGCATGCTGATTGGAATATAAAACTAGAGAAACACCCTAAGATATAGTTTTTTTTTTTTATAAAAGCGTTATCACCCAGGCATCACCTAAGCACCCAGTTAGGTGACTAAGGTGCTCAACTGTCATGTTGCCTAGACAGCTTGACAACCATGGTCCTAAATAAACACTTCCTATTAACCTATTAAAAACTGGTTGACCCTTAGTTTACAAGTGCTTACATTAAAGTCCACATTCCAATACTCTAACACTGTCTATCAACATGTCTAACAGTGAAACTGAAGAAAGAGAACACTTGTAGCATAGTTGTCAAGGTGACGCCTAGGCGACAAGACGCCCCATATTCGCCAAGCAGTTTTGTATTTGTGTTATATAATACTTTTGTATTCCTAATTTTTTGAGATTATAATTATAAAATAGACAATATTAAAATAAAATATTCATTTTGTGTATTTATATACTAATTTCTTTTTATTATTTTCTTATTTGTCAGGGTTTAATCAACACAAACATAGCTAACTGCTGTATTGAACCCTCAAAGACTCCAAAACTTGAACCAATAGGTAAGGAAGAACTTAAAATTTTGTCTAATCAATACATTTTGTTCTTCCACCTTTTCTTTCTTTTTCTTCATATTTTTCTTCTTCTTCTTCCACCTTTCCTTTTCTTCTTTTCCTATAACAAAAATCGGGATTCAACCCTATATATATTTTTATTTTATTTTCTTTATTTTTTTTCTTCTCGTGAATATGTTGATTTTCTATACTTGCCTAGGCACCCGCCTAGGTGACAAGGTGTCCCCTTTCACCTAGCCTCACCTTGGCACCTTGAAAACTATGACTTGTGGGTTAACATAATTCCTTGAAAAGGCAAATAATTCTAATTTAATGATTCAAGACCATTTAAATTCTGTACAGGAATATCAGAAATGTTTGACTCTCTCAGTGCACATTGAGTTAATTCTCTAAATGTCTATAAGTTAATCAATATCTAACCCATCTCCCAGTAAATGGATCAAATGGTTTAACGGTTCTTCAGCTATCCTAGTTCACATGCTATTGGCTATGTTAAAATCTTTAATTGACTGGCCAGGTCAACAAAAGGTTGAAAACACTATTCAAAAGTAAATGCTCTAACAATTCTGGCATGTTTAATTGTGTACAAACTTGCATACAACTGCCACATGTCTTACGAAACTCATTCTTAATGTGCTATGAACTATAAATTAAGGATATAGAGGGCATCAACAGACGTCAAGAGAGCACGATTGAACCCACCCCCCTCCCCAATAAAAAAAATAAATAAAGAAAATTAGGTTATAATGAAAAACAAGAGACTCCCTCCTTCCCTCAGAAACTTGAAATTCAAATCAGGAGGTATTATACAAACAGCAGGTGTTTGACCACTATATTTCTCTTCTTTTTCTCCATACCTTTTTAATCTGAACTTTCATCTAGTAAAAAAATATATGCTGATCTGAATTTCATTTTTACCAATCATATATGCTGACATTCTAGTGGAATCATCTAAGGTTTATTAAGCAAAAATAGCATATAATCCAATATATTTATATTAACAACATAGACTGACCGAGATTAACAATCTTTTCACCAACATCATGTATTTCTGATATTACATAGACTTGTTCCAGTCTGTGGAGCCCTTCTCCAACACAAGCTCAGAAAAATCTAATGATCACTCACACATGAACAAATTTTGGAAAATAAAGTTTTTTGACAATTTCTAAAAACTACATAGAAATTATAAAACCACTATAGCAATTAGTGTTATTTAAAAGTCTGAAGTATAATGAAAGAACGCAGGGACCCACCTGATGCTCATTACTCCTAACACAGGACAAAATAATATAATCTTTCTCTCTTCCCTGAAAGGAATCCACACTAGCAACCTAACAAGAACAAAGAAATATGTTGAAGCAACGAATAACTATTAAATGAAAACCAGGCTTCAAGCGATAATAATTTCTAGAATTAACCTCAATTTCCTTGTAAAGCTGCTGTCTGAGAGCACCATTCCTTGACATATAGTTCACTATATAGGCTCGCTGCCCTTCATATGGTGTTATAACTCCAATCTATAAATGTTGGAAAAAAAAAACTGAAAATTAATCAAAACTATCCAAAGAAGTTCACAAAGTTAAAAATCAAGGAATTTTGAAATTCCATCTGAAATTATTTAAACTAAAAATCAGGTACTTCAACTCCACTCTTTTCAAGAAGAATTTTATGAGAAGCATAGCAAAAATCTTCACAAAGTTAAAACCCAAGTTCAAAAGACAACAAGATACCTGGCTAGGAACAACACCACTCCTCAAGAAAGTAGTAACAATTTTTTCAACATTTGCAGCCTCAGTCCTATTTAAGTATGAAGTTCCACTTGCACTTATCTCCTCTTGTCCCATCTGTGTGTCAAGTATAAAATAAACAAGAAACACTAATAATTACTACAACAAGTAACAATCGGAAACTAGAATTTTAAGAAACATCGGGATACAATTTATAAACTACCTGAACATAAAAGAACATGGGACGATTTGGCACAGGCCAAGGAAAATCAATCCCTGACGATTGCCTTTCATTGATGGTCACTCCATTTTGAAGTGTACCTTCATAGAAGCTGTTAGAAGGAAACTCTGAAAGGGATGGATGCATACGGTATTGCACCTACAATTGAGAGTAAAATTAGAACTGACAGTAAAAATTGTTCTGGTATTAAGAGTCGCATCATAAATACAATTCTAAAAAGACAGATGGAGGAAGGGACAGAAAGCAGGGAAAAAAAAGCGGGGAGGATTGGTGTAAGTGTAGTGTAACTAATAGAAGGAAAATGCATCATGCAACTCTAGAAATGCCCAACATATTACAGAAAAAAGTTATTACAATAAATATTTACCATTCACAATATCTATGTTATTAAACATATGAGTAAAGCTAGTCTACAGTTCATACAAGGAAGAACATTGGGGAGAAAGGACATGAACAAGTAACCCTGATGGCATAAAATCTCATTAAGTTAAACCAATTCAGTTGACTTTAAGATCAATCTTACAAGCAATTTGTATTAGAAGAAATTGATTTTAGATAGCATTTATTAACAATAATAAATCCAAACCCATTTCTGACACGCTGGCATGAGTAGATAAACATAGATGGCATTTGCCTAAATTCCCCTTCTTCAGTTGCTAATTATTATTTGACATGCAATTGATCTATTAAATATTTATCATGTCATATTATTGCATTTGAAATAATGGAATTAATTGAGTTAATAAGATATTGTATTTTAGATATGATTATTTGCTATTTTTTGGGAGGATAATTTTCTTAGTAAAAAGCTTTACTGTTTTTTCAATTTATATGAATGCTGATTGTCTTGTATTATTAAGAACTAACCTAGAACTTAGTTTTTTCTTCATTGTAAAATTCTATCACCTAGGCAAAGTCTATGTCCCACCTAGATGACTGGGTACTCCACTATTGCCTAGATGCCTTAACAACTATGGCCTAAGCTAGAAGTACGGGAAACAATCCCAGGAACATGAAGAAAAAACAATCCCAGAAAATTGCCACATCACTCCAATCAGAAAGATGAGAAGGAAACCCATGAACATAAAACCAGACAATACATGAATAAAAGAGCAATCTTACCTGCAATCTAAATGGTTTCACACCAAGAAGCACAAGACGCTCAAAGAGGGATTGAGCTAATCCTGCACGAGCTGCCTTCTTGCACATGATGACTGGACCAAGTTGACAATGGTCTCCAACAAGAACAACCTAGTTTAAAAAGAAATATCATTAGATAGCTTAAGTGATAAAGGAATTTCAGGATAAGGCATGTTGGATCAGCAACTACCTGTTTCACTCCAAGCACTAAAGGAATGAGACATTCGGGCTCTGTTGCCTGGGTAGACTCATCAATAAGAACCTGAAAGCAGAAAAGATTCCATGAACCAACTATAGAAACATGACAATGTTAACAATGTTATTGATAAAAAAGAAAAACTGGCGTGTAGCCATGTACAATGAACATCTTGCATCCCAAGGTTGACCTAATCTGACTAGCCACCCATTTTATCTTACATTTCCCCTCAAGGGATTACACCTCGATGCAAGGAAGCCCTATTGACATGACACCTCCTATGGCAAGCCCACTTGCTTGGTGATTGGCAGATCTTGGAATGCAATCATAACTTATGTTCAACTCCTCAGCCAAGACTCTGACTTTCCACGACTGTAGAAACATGGAATTGCACATTGATATGTTTTCATATGTTCATGCAAGTCAAAGTTATCAACCTGGCGGAATCTAAAATTTGCTAATCGAGGATCCCCAGCTCCAACACATGTACAACAGATGACATCAGCACTCTGGGATATTTCCCTCTCAGTTGCCCTTTTCAAGGCTTTGTACTTCTTCTCATCACTGCTAGATAGCTCCCCTGTGAAAAGGAAATAGAAAACAAAGGGAAAAACAGTTAAAACACAAACAACTGTTAATCATACAGCAGTTTAACAACTAGACTTTTGAACTTTGGCCTCTCTGATTTCCCTCAACATAACTTTGGACCATGGTATGCATGCTTCTATTTAATCCATGAAGTATCCAAAAAAAAAGAGTACTAGCAAAATCCTTGGTAGTGTTCTCAAAGAGAACTAATTTACCCTGCACATATGCATCTAATCCATAAAATGTTAAAAAACCCTATTTTGGGGGAAAGTATAAGCAAAACACCAGGGCATGCTCTCAAAGAGAAATCTATTCCATTCACAACCAAAGTAAATTCCTAAGCTACAAAATACAAAAAAGGCAATGGCATACAAATTTAACAGATATGCCTACAATTAACAGTGGGCCACAGAAGCTAACTAAAAAAGCTGTACCTTGTTCATCCTTGAGTTGCTGCAGCTTATGAAGTTCGCTCTTTTCAGATGTATCAAGATGTTGGACCTGTAGTCACAAGACTTATGTTAGTATGGGAAGCCTATAATGCTAATCACAACCAAAACATTCATCATATTATGACTGAATGTGCAAATCAATCACAGACCTGATAGTGCAAAGTTAAATGCTCAACAGGAGAGCTTACAGCTTCCCTCGATTTAGCACAAAGCCTGACAACCTGAAAAGTAAGGGGATAACATAGATCAGTGAAAAAAGAAGACCAAATAAATGCTTAAACAAAAAAAAATACATAAACAGGCAACATCCAGTTAAAAACACATAAAGTACTTGATCTTGGCAGAATATTTACCACAAGGTTGCATTCAGAGAATAAATCCTTTCAATCAAATAGCAGGAAAATCCAACACTACCAATAAAAGAATATGATAAATTTAACTCAATCACAACCTACAAGAAGAATATGAAGGGAGAAACGAAAAGCCTAATAAAAAACCATTTGAAATATATTTGGTATGGTGGTTTTGAACCCAACCCTAGCCCTAACCCAATTAGGGGTATAACAAACCCATCCATAATGAGTCAGGGAGAGCTGGTACCTATTAATCCACCTCGTTAACACCCTTGTTCACCTCTAATTCAATATAAATTAAATTTATTAACTATTTAATTAATATCAAATTACTACCTCTCTCAACAAGTAATTGAAGGGGGAAATTAACCATAGAAGATCTAGGAATAATTTTCCAACTAAACCACATTTACCAATATAACTAAAATGCCAATAAACAACAGGACTGGATTACACAAGGAATTATTACCAGGTTGCCAGAATAGCTTTGAACAAATTCCAAACCTTGTCCTAAAGAAAATTTCGTATAAACATAAAAACTTAAATCCAGATTTGCAGGCAAGGGAACCAGGTTTTGCAGTGCCTCTTTGGACCATCCACCATCCAGGAACCCAAAAAAATAGTCATGTAATGAAGACTAATGTGAACAGGATTGGTCTGATGAGTCGGTGAAAAACTAACAGGAAAAAATAAAAAGGGGGGACAATATGGCAAGGCTTTTATACATCTGTACTTGCAACAAGAGACAAGTCTTTTCCCTCCATCACTGTAGTATTAAGTGCAAGAAAAAGTTGCCTGTGAAATAGAATTAGAAAGACAGAGGTGCTTTTCTCACTATTGTCATAAAATTATGAAAGAGAAGTAAACTTCAACTAATGTCCATTTGGTCCATGTACAAAGAACAAAGTAATCTAAATATTGCTGCTCTAGATATGACCATGAAGTATTTCTATCATCACATTTATGGCTTATTATATTTATGGAAAGTAGGTAACAGCTAATGTCATAAAGTAAGCCAGCTTTGACTAGGAAGTCTGCAGAACAGCCACTCTCGGTATTAACCTACCATATTGATAGTTGTTGAAAATTGATTGTTATTGATCATATTTACCTTCAACCCAGTTGCACTGATCTTTTCAGCAAGTTGATCTACAGCAACATTACTTGGAGCGCAAACCAACACCTGGATAGTTAAGTAAAATCAACAATCATAAAGTGCAAATAAACAAAGGCACAAGTAATTGTTGGGGGGAAAGGGAGGCGGGAAGAAGGAACATGCAAGTAAATTCAATTACCTGCCCTTGTCCTTGTTTAGCCATGTGGTATACAATAGCTGCGGAAGTAACAGTTTTTCCTGTGCCAGGAGGCCCTTGTATTAAACTAATTGGTTTCTGTAGTACACTCTTTACAGCAAAAACCTGCAAGTACATGATGAAAGTTAGGAATTTCCAAATAAATTACTTCTAAAAGAGGAGATCTGCAAAACAATCTAGAAATGGAAAAATGAAGAAGAATCAGTGAATATTTCATATAGGAGAAAAAAAGAACCACTAACATTTTGCACCTGGAAGGAATATATGGGTATGCACAGCATGGGCGAAGAGGTCAAGTGAAAGGTAATACTGATACGAATACAGAAACAATGATGTATGGACCAAGTGTAACACACAAAGTGGAAGTTACTTAATGTTGAAAGGGAGCAGCATATACACTGAAATTTATTTAATGTTAAGATGAAAAGTTGAGTTTATCAATAGAGGCTCCAAATAATTCCTTGAAGAGTATATAACATCTGCAGTAAACAACAGAGTTGGCTTTGTCTAATGCACAATGTCACTTCAACATCTTGAGCCACCAACAAATACAAGTTCTCCCACAAATAGAAAAGAAATAACAGTGACAATCAAAAGTTTCTATATTAAAATGGTATGGAATGAATAAAAATTCCTAGGATAACACAAAGGTGCCAAGGGCAACCCCAGGCCAACAAAGGAACTCCAATATGCATCAATACTTAAAAGATATAAAAAATACAAAATGGGAACTATTCAAAAGAAAATGTTATATTAAAAAGAGCTGCTTATTATTTGGGTTTCATGATTCAACGGGCGGTCCCAGTTTGAGTCTTACAACACTAAGAAAATGAACATGTCAGGAATCCATTATAGCTAGTAAGTAGTAACTAGGAGTGTAGACGATAAAATTCAAATATGAATTCGAGATTCAGCATAATCAAATAAAATTCAAATATGAGTCAATTTGATTCAATAAGTATTCAACCGATTGTATATATATATATATATATATATACACACACACACACACACATATATAATCAATAAAAATTTATAATCATTATTACTTTATTAGTTGTCAGTCTTCTTTTTTATCTTGTTTTTTCATATTTGGTCTTCGTACATGCCAACTTTTCCTCTAAAGATCTGATGGTCACTTAATGTCTTAAGTAACCCATACCTTTTGGGTAAACAGGAATCTCTCTCCTTGTACCTTCTCCATTTTCATCCCTCAGTTAAGCCTCACTATTCTCTGCAGGATACAACCCACCTGCCTAATTCAAAGCAATCTGCATCCCCACGGTTTAACTTAACAGTATCACCAATGGATCCCCCAGCTGAGGCTTGGAAAAAGCAAGCAAGCCATCGAATAAGGGATAGTCCTCGTCAACATTGAAATTTTGAAATGTTTGAGGTGGTGGGCATGCATGTGGCTGTGAAGAGTTTACTGGTGTTACAGATGCGAGGAATCCCTCCCTCGGCCCCTAATCCCCCATTTTTCTTCCATGCTTTCTTGCCATGTTGGCTCTCACCAGTGACTGCATCTGTTGTGGCTTTTAACTTCTCCCATTGATGCCAACATCACCTTCCATCCTTGGCAACAGAACAGATGTAAGATAGCAAAGGGTTAAGTGTTTTTCTCTTCGTCCCACTTCAAATCTCCCTTCCATATCACATAGCATTATCAACGTTACCGAGCTACAAAGCATTCACTTGAGAAACATATAGTTTTCCTCCATTGAGAGAAGCAAAGAGTCTCTTGAACTTTACAGCTGTAACAGCACAGAGGTAAGTTAATCTGACTTGAATCCCAAACTCTAGCCTTTATCACAGTTAATTGAATTTGATTCAAATTTGGTATTCGATCAATCACATGAAATTGATTTCAGATTGTCATTTAAAACTCCGTTAAATATTGAATCAAATTCAAATAGCCTTTTGCTTAATTGGAGTCGAATTTAAATGTGGTCAGAATTGATTTGAATTCACTCCGTTTACACCCCTACTTGTAACTTGTTATTAATCCCCGAAAACTCCACAATCATTTTTAGAGGCCCCACAATTGTATCAACTCAAGTCCCTAAAGAATGTGGAATCTTCTATGAAACATATATCCTACACCCACACCCAAAATGGTTCCAGTAAGTCATACTCTCTTGTTGAGGAACTATCTAAGATTTTGTCTCTTGAAAATCCAGAGCATCTTTTTGAACTAGTAACTAGATTTTAATAAAGAAAATATGCAATATCACAAGCAATAATAGTCAAGTACATAGTCAAATGAACATAATGGACATGCCTGAGATGCATTAAGTTCTGGAAGGCCTGGTGCACCAAAACGACGAGGTAGTGTATTACGAACCACCTGAGCCTCAACTTCATGACCTAGCAAGTGATGATATATGTACCTGCATGAGAGAAATCATTAGTAGATTTTCAAGTGATGATATTCAGTGCCACAGCATAATCAGAAGATGGATTCTATTAAGACTTCATTACAAATAAAGATATTGCTATTTTCTTCAATCAGTGAAAAAAACATGTTATTAGAGGTTTTAAAAAACATAATACATCATGATTGTGGCAAACACCCATTTCTTGTAGGCTAGATTCCTTTACAATCAGTTCCCTGTATTCATCTCTCCCCAAAACAACCAGTTCTCTGTATTCCTTGTCCAGCAAAAAAGCATCTGCCACTGTGCTAGCCCTCCAAGGTGTCCAATGGAAGGCGGTGCTCGGTTTATCTTCCGAGTGTCTAATCTCCCTCATGTAGTACCTATACTTCCAAGTTCATTTCCTAACATATCTAAGCCAACCCACTATAACATACAACCTTAAATAACTCTCAACAATGATATATTTGTAATTGAGTGTTCTGGCCAACCTTAATCCATGTACCATTGCCATGAGTTCTGCCCTTGTTGGATCTCCATACTATCATTCCATTAGAACTTCTAAATATACCACTAACAATGCCAAATGGTTATGAGGTTCAATCAGTCATGCCATTGGGTCATTGACTGATAGACCGAGTCAACAGTTTTGTTGCAGGTAAATGGTTCAGGGTGAAATGGACCCAGAAATCAGGTAATTGATCAACTGATTCAAAACAGTGAACACAAAACAGAGTAGTGTATTTTTTCCCAAGGTACAAGTTTCTTTAAAATCTATCTGCAATTAGGTTCAAGAAATTCATATGCCACTTTGACTTCCTCTTCCCCTATCTTTACCCAAAAAAATGGTATACATCATCTGGAAATAGGAAAATAACAATTAGGTTCAAGAATTCCTGATCCTCATCCCTTTGATTATCCCAAACCTACCTGCTCTAGAAATAGGAAAATAACAATGTCCATAGTTAAGGCGAATAACAAGAATCATACCAGTCTTACCTCAAAAATAATAAGGTGCCACCTTACATGGAGGTCAACAAAGATTCACAAAATAAAGAACTATGAAATAGGAAAACATGAATAAACTCAGAAGAGGCAAAAATTGAACAAAAACCAATATATTATAACCAAAGATTCTTGAGGTACACTGTAATCCATAGAAAGTACATGGAATAGAGAACCAATACTAGGCACCCACCCACTAACACTTGTTTCATCCACTGCAAAAGTTTTCATTGCACCCTGCATCCGATCAAAACTTGTACTTTTCCAAACAAAATCAACGCTGAAACCATGGTTCACATCAACAGGTACACCCTGCATGCAACATTAGCAATGAGCACTTGAAAAAAAAATCTAGCAAAACCAAAGCCAACTCCAATAGCTTTAACAAATTGAATCCCATTCCATATGGCTCTTTTTTCAATTGTCTTATTCAAGTTTTATTTTCATTGCTCTGATGCTCTCTGCCTATTTAAGTTTTAATTGTTTCTTTGTCTTCAATTATTGTTCAACTTATCTTGCCATTTGGCAATGGCTATCTCCTCCCAATGTTAAAACATTTGTTTGGATGGCTACTCTCATAGGTATCAAGACTCAATCTGTGATACCAGAAAGGAATGATACCTGAAAAACTTTAACCAATCAAAAATCCACGTGAACGTGAACTTAAACCAGTCGAATGGTTACCAAGTGGATGTTACGGACCAATTAGTTATCAGTTTTATACGTATGATAGCTTTTTGGTATTCATAATTAGACTCTTACTTTCATCATGTCAAGAAGAAACAATAGAATTTCAAAAGCAATTACAAGTTAGGTTTGTGGGAGCTAGAGATCCCTAAATTATAGGCTAGCATCACCTTACAATTGTCCCTAAAAGTGTGCAATCCATGTTCACCCCTTGTTTAGCCATTATATCAGCCAACCTATTTTCTGAAAGGAGGTTACCATACCACTAGCCACGTATCTAATATCCCTCACAATGTACTGGTATTCCATGACCCCCCCCCCTGCTATCATTTCTTGGCCATCCCACAATCCCCGCCCGTACAAGCATCCCTTTGCCAACTAAAATAGAATCATTAATGTACGGGAACCTAGAGATAAATTCAGCTTCATGTGTGAAAATATGAAATAATCAGTTTTTCTAGATAAAAGAAAATTTTATTAAAAAAGAGAAAATACAAGTATACTAGTATACAAGCACTATACTCCAACAATTTGACCAACCTCCCACCCACAGTGCAGAGCACAATTCAAAAGCCAAAACAAAAACAGGCCTAAACCATGAAATTATCACAACACCAACACTACAACTCTGAAGCTTCAACTCAGCACAGCAACCTAAACTTAAACTTAAAACCCAAAGCAAATAAAATGAGAAGACAGACACAAACTTCATATAAGAAAATAATATAGATACAACCACTCATTGGCCATCAGAGACAGAAAGATCATCAGAAGAAACCTCCACTCAGTAGAACACAACGTCACAAGACCCCTAACAAGTAACAATTAACTTCCAGTTACATCAAAATTTACCCTCCCCACTCATCAATCCAAACTGTGATGATAGATCCTCATATCCATGATCAACATTTTTACTTCTCTCTCGAAATAAATCTATAAACACCTTACAGGTGAACCCTTCTAATCAACAAAAGTGTCCAGCATTTGCTTACCTGCACTTCTTTCTTTCTTTTTTTGATACAGGGTTTTGGTGGATTCTTCCTACTTTCTTTCTCCTGGTCAATCAAGTACAAGCTCGCTTTGCTGACTGGCATATAGCAAATCTGGAGGCTGAGGATTTTCCCTTATCCAATTGGGGTTACACCAAGTTGGGGACCTGGATTTATAGACAGCCCATAAGGGAGATCCTCAAACACAACAAGGGAGATTGGTGCATGCTTCAAATGGACAAGGAGATCAGCTAATGGTTTAGCTGACATGTTGGCTAAACAAGGGACTGTGAGGGAGAGAATGTTCTGGGCAGTTTTGTAAGAAAGATTACTGGGGGCTCAACACCTGTTTAGGGGTTGACAGCTGTACTTAACTCTAGAAAGTTATTCTCAAGTTGTATTAATGAAGTTACTGTTTCCAATATAAAAGGAAAAAAAAAAGATCGTACAAGTTTCTGGCTCCATTTATCAAATTTGAATAAGAGTTATTTCTTGAACCAAGAGATCCATGAATCAGGATCCTGATGCATATAAATTCAAATGGTCCAATGTAGGGCTAGCAATTTTGGCCCCAACCCATTTGACTCACCAACTTGGAACACCCATTTGAATAAAGGGTGAATATAGGTCGAGTGATCCATTAGGATAAGGGGAAAAAGGTCAGGGTGGATAGGGTCAAGGGTACCTGCTGGGTCATGAGGAACTTGGGTTGAGTTAGTGTTCAATCTGTTTGAAGTTTCCTTTCCCCTCCAATCCCCTTCTTGATGGTTGATTTAGGGTTCAATCTGTTTGAAGTTGTCTTCCCCTCTAGTCCTCTTCTTGATCGTCACGTCTGTCATTGAAGCAACCTTCATTGCCAAAAACTTCACATCTGCCATTGTCTTCGAATCAAAGCTTCAGGTATTTCTCACCACAACCCAAGGAGTAGGGAGATGGCGATGATTGAGGTTCAAAGTCTCGTATTCACCAGTGACAAGAACTGATGTTCAAAGCCTGTTCTTCACCAACGATCAACACAATTTTCTTCTTTCCAACGGCTCTATTTCCTTTTTCCCAAAGCATAAACTTCAAGCAATGTGAGGAATATTTGCTCCATCTTTGATCATACACATCAGGTGGGCTTTTCTCCACTCCCTTCTATTCAAGCATTTAAACTCTGTTTCCTTCTACTATTTCTTCTTCTGCCTATAATACACATCAAGCGGCCTTCGTTTTTTTTATTTTATCATTCTTTGTATTTTTTGCAATTTTGGAATGCAATATAACATTGAACAACAGTTGATTTGATCAGTTTTTATGCAATTACAAGGGACACTCAAATCAGCTAATTGTATCATTTTTTCTGTTTTTTTGGTGTAATATATATTAAATTTTTATCATTTTCTTTGTTTTACTGCAATTTTTTCTTTTTTCTGAACTGTAGGTTTTCTTCAATTTTTTTTATTATTTTCTGCAATTTTTGCTTTTTTAGTTGAAATATATAATTTTTGAAATTTTATCATTTTAGGCATTTTTATGCAATTTCTGATGTTTACTTGAAATATATATATTTATTTTTATCATTTTGTCTTTTTTCTATTTGTATCATTTAATATATTTTAATTCTACTTTTTGGTAATTTATTTATTTATGTATGTATGTATGTATGTATGTATGTTTTTTAACTGAAGCATATTTTGTTTAAATTGTTATCATTTTATGTATTTATTCAATTTCTACTTTTTTATCTGATACCCAAAACTTTTTTCTCATTATAGATGATTTATATAATTTTAAATATTCAGAGTTCGGATGGGTCAATATGGGTGGGTGAGGGTCAGGTGTGTTTTTATTTTTTTGATAAATGAATGGTATTTTATTAAATAGAGATAGAAATAGTACAAGCATGAAGCACCCTAAGAGGAGGCACGAGGTGTTACCTCCCCAATCTTTTTTTGATGAATGAATGGTATTTTATTAAATAGAGATAGAAATAGTACAAGCATGAAGCACCCTAAGAGGAGGCACGAGGTGTTACCTCCCATTAAAGGTGGTTCCAAACCCAACTCTTTTCAAATTGTAGTTACAAATTAGCCAAAAACAGAGAATCCCTTGAAGCCCCTTGTTTAGTTAAAGAATTTGCCAAAGCAGTTGCCGATCTACTAACCCACTGAAAGCTAACTAACATGACTCTCATAAGCCATTTGACTTTTTTGATGATGTCCCTATATCCCCAAACAACAGTTTCTGGGTCCAACATTCATCCCACTACCACCTTAGAGTCTCCTTCAACTATCAAATTAGTCACTCCAAGTTGGTTGGAAATTTGTAGTCTTGTACCACAGCTAATATCTCAGCCCTTATAGAGTCTCCATAACCCACTGGACCTGAGAATAAAGACAGAATGCTGCCATCCTTATTCTTCGAGATCCCTCCTATACCCAAAGGTCCTGGATTGCCTTGACTGCTCCCATCAAAGTTCAACTTTTCAACTCCTTCCGGAGGGGGTAACCAACTTGCTTGTGTTCTATTTTTCCTGGATGATGTGGAGGCCACTGCTGCCCAACTCCTTCAAAGATCATCACTAGAGTAATCCGCAAAGAGATCAGTAGTTTTTACCCAAAGGATTGCCCTTGTCAGTATACAATCCTTTATTTCAGCAATGCTTATCTCCTTCTCCTGGAAATTCTAGCATTTCTTTCCCCTCAAATGGTCCATAAGAGGGCTGCCCTGATACATTTCCACATTACTTTCCCTCTCTTTGTTGGCCAACCAAAAAAAGACGAATCAAAAAGCAGATTTACTTCAGGAGGCAGGTTCCACCTGTACCCAAACAGTATAAAAATCCAATTCCAAATATTTACTGTAAAAGAGCAAGAAATCAGTAGGTGATAACAGTCCTCATTCTGCACTTTACATAAAATGAACCAATTGGGGGACAAGCATGAATAAGGTCTCTTTTTTTGTACATTGTCTATAGTATTAATTTTTCGCTTCATATCCACAGTATTAATTTTACCATAATACACTTCTCAACAAAAACCAACAATTTTAGGTGGAATTGACCTTGACCAGACTTCTTTAACTGGGAACAACAAAGGGGGAGGAGAAGAGCAAAGGGACTTAAAGAAGGAAGAACAAGAGAAGGAGCCACTCGAGGTCAAAGACCAAATTCTTCTAACTGGTTTAGGAGGGTCCAAACAAACAGAATCAAGTAAAAGTAAGAGCTCAAAGGCAAAAACTGATTCCTCATCCCTCAACCCTCTACGGAAACCAAAATCCCAAATAAGAGACAATGAGAAAATGGGGGGAGAAAGAAACCTCAAAACAGGCTCCTTTTATAGAGGGAAATAGAAAAAAGAGAGAAATAAAAGTCTTTTAACGGTTGGTTGCCCACCCAAACATCTTCCCAAAAAAGCACAAAATTACCATTGCAGACATCATACCTTACAAACTTGATAAATTTTGGGTGGATGCCAAAAAACACCTTCCAAGGTGTGGTGAGTGTGGCCCATTGAGATACCCCGGCATCCCAACCAGATTCAGAACAACCATGGATACTAGCCACCACCTCATGCCACAATCTCTCTCTTTCTAGAGGCCACCTCCATAACCACTTGCCCAAAAGAGCTTCATTCTTATTTACTAGGTTCCCTA